TTGATTAACATGCATAAAGAACTCAGAGGCACATAGACACTTAAGGAACTTTTAATAAAGGGTTTCCATTATTAGATATAAATCTAAAATCAGGGCATGGGGAAAGATGTGTAATCTGTTTTATGCAAACTAAAAAATGAAAGAGGTAAGTATCAAATTTAAAAGTGATACTGAAAATATGAATTTTGCATTTGATTTTCAGTTAAAGCTGAACAAGAGTTGAATATTCTATCACACATTTCAAAGTTTGGACAATTCTAAGACAAAGAGTTCAAGAAGTCTGTGCTCTGATGATTCTCAGAAATAAAGAGTCTGAAGGAAATCAGAAAATGACACGAAACTGTTCTCTCTCTCCCCTCTCTCTCAGTAGACTTCTCTCTCAGATTGGTGCATTAGTTGTGTATCTGTGTTTCTAACAGCTGCGAGAATGCTGTAATTACAATAACCCAACAAATAAAAAGCCAGGAATAATCTGCTGACTTGATATGGTTAGGAGAGCTGACCATTTGAGAGATAAAACTTTTATTAAGAGCTGAATAAGGCTAAACTTGATTGGACATACTGATAACTATGATTTTCTCTTCTAAACATAGTGTCTGGGGAAAAAACACTGATCTTCTTGAAAATGGTACATATCCTTTCAATAATAACAAATAAACCAAAAATCAAAGAGGGATTGGCATTTATAGTACTAACTCTCCTGTTAACAAATCCAAATGGAGATTGAACTGTCATTATAGGCAAAGGATTTAGTGAAAATGACCAACCTATTCTATTCAAAAAGGTACCCTTATCCACTTCAGGCATCTTCACTGAAGAACATAACCTGGTAAATGCCAGAACTTTGCTTTGTTTTATGGCCTTGGGTGAGCATATGTTTTATTTTGCACATTTTATTGCTTGTTAAAGAGACACAGTCCTGAAAACAAGTATGGGTTCACATGCCAACCATTTCTCTATAGACACTCTGAATTGATTAAAGTCTCATTCACCAATCTTTCCCAAATGCAATTGTCCTTAGCTCAGAAAAACAAAGAAACAGAACCTGCTAAGATATACAACTTCCCTCCTACTCCAGATCAAAGGAAACTTCAAGGCAAAAAAATAAATATTTGAAAGGAAAATTCAAGACAAGTCAAAATAAACCACAATGCGATTAATGTTCCCTGAATATTTTTTTCTTTCTTCAGACCAGAGATAATCCCCTATTCAACTCATGTGCTGGTGAATGTTAAGGTTTTATAATGCTTATAGAGTTAAATATGTTGAAAAATACAAACACAAAGGTTGACTTCCTATCTCTGAAATCTGCTCTTCCTGTTTCTACCTTGACATATTTTGCAGCTCTGGTAAAAAAAATTACAAAACAGAAATATAACATTTCTAGTTCAAACAGAAGATAGTCCCTCACAAGATCATAGAGCAATTTTTCTATTAACCAGATAAATTTATTAAGGACCCAAAAGGAATGTAACAACTGGAATCCAGTAGCTACTTCTTTAAGTCTTGAATAATGCAGAATAATAGGGAAGGTTTAGTAATATAGAAAGGCAACATATACATCATGAACATTTATAAACCTGGGATAGTGTAAACACTTTCCCGTGGGAAGCACAACTTGACAGGACTCCTAATTTTATAACCTGATCTAAGGGCTAAAAGCTCCCCCATAAAGATGATGCAAACGCCCTAATGCACAGCACATTAAGCCCTAATGAAACAGCAAAGTCCGCGTTGTTAATGCAGGCTTCCATTCAGCAATGGTTTAAATATAAGCATAATAAAGCAGATTAAAAAGAAAGAGGCTGTAATTACTTTTTTAAGAACTCAATCTCTTGTCCTATTATTGGTCTACATGTGAGCCTCAAAGACTGAATACAGATAGTAAAAGCTGCATGAAGGCATTACCAATCATGTCATATACATTACTTTTTAAATGTAAGCATAACAATTGATGAAACATGATGGGAACATGGAAACTTGAGGAAATAACATCCTGGTCAAATCAGTTCATTTTGAGCGATCCATTATATCTTTCCTGTTTGTCTTGTACAAAAATAAAAGGATACCTTTTTTTTTTTGAATTTCAGGGCAGGGTATGTTTTTAGGTGATTAGAAGAGAAGCTCATGAACTCCTTTAGACTAAGAAAAGCCAGTTGTGGTTTTATGCTGGCTAAGTAAGGTGGCTTCCATTAAACTGTAATTCTGCAACTATACAATTTACATAGAAGTGAATTATCAGTAAATTTTATATGTTATCTAAAGTTTAGTTCTCCAAACATTATAATTCTAAGTTTTTAAACTCATATCTGACATATTCACAACCTAGACTTTGCTTACATTATTTTTTTCCCAAGAGTGTATCTCACATTCGTACTCGAGTTGGTTCAAATTATTTAAAACCAAGTATGTCAAACAAAAATATAGATCAAAGCCACAGAGTTTTTAAATCCTTTGCTTAGGATTTATATTCCTTTTTTTTCTTGGCCTAAAATGTCATAAATCTATCATTAACCACCAACTGTTCTGAATGTTTTATAAAAGCAAGTTTAATTGGAAAAGATTAATGCATTGCTCATCTATTCCTTCAACTGACTTAAATAATAAATTCATACAAATCACTCCTAAAGTTGAATGATAGTAATAATGATGTTTACCAACATATATTAAGCAGAATGCATACGAGCCATTAAGCTGCTATGTATATGTATTTTTTTCTGACAAAATGCATCCTCCATTAAAGAAATCCTACAGTCAGCATTTTACCTCACATAGCTTTTAGTCTCTCTACAGTTCAAGTGCCAAAGAAAGAACCTGCCAGATAGAATTTCACCAGTGCAAACACATGCAAGTAAAAAGGAGAAATTCAGACTTGCTTTTATGATTCAGTTTATGCATAAAGAAAGTCTGACTGCTATTCCTTTCAGCATGAAAATTCTCATGACTTACTTATCTGTAGACAGGTTTCTGCATCAATATCTCCTACATATGCAACATGTTCAAAATTAGCATTTGGCCTATCAGTAAACTTAAGGCTCTCTTTTATAAATTAAAGTTCACTTTCTTTAGAATTGTTTCAACTCCCAATCACTTCTTTGAAAGAAGTGATTTTCTACAGATTGATTTTTTTCCACTTTGCAGCAATATTAGTTCTCTTTGAAAAAGAAGATAGATCTTAACAATAATATCTTCCTGAATGTTATTCTCTATCACTTTGGGTCTTCTTTACTGCCTGTGCTATGAGGATTTAGTAGACAGCACAATCTAAGATCAGCTGTTTTATTTCCAGTTCTATGAGTTCAAACTTAGATAGCTCACACATCTGTTTTATTTCTCAAAACACTGCCCAGGAAAAGTGTTCCACCCAAACATAAACTTTACTATAAATAACTAAGAACCTAACAAATAACTGTTTGGGGGAAATGGAAGTGTGTTTAAAAATCTGAGTTCTTCCAAACTATAGGCCTCAGTAATCTTCGTTTTAGAGCCTTCCTGACAGCAAGATCAGCTTCCTTAGAAGTCATCCCCAGAGAGAACGAACTGAAACTCCTGCCGGAAATCCAGGTATTAACATCATATTACTTGCTAATTATAAAACACCATTTCACATACTGACATTATTCACTTCCAACCCTTTTATCTAAAACACGTATTTGCTTTCCAATCATAGTTTGACAGCAGAGTGCATCTGACATAAGACAGTGAAATGATCTTTAATAAGACAGCAGTTCAAAGCATGTAGCTTTCATGCATAATAACTATGTTGGCTTAATTTGCTGCTCCACAAAAATAATTCTATTTGTGGAAATTCAGGAACTAAGATAGAATTTTTAGAGAGCTTAGCAAAATATAAAACTGGCTTTAAAAGAGCTGTTCTTCCTATCTCTCTTAAAGTGATAAGACTGCCATTCTGACAAAAAAAATTTCTTTCTCCTCTGATTCTTCTTACAAGTATTGTAAAATATTTTCATTGTTATTTGTATTCTGCCTATGTTTCTTAATCATAAATGTCAAAAGCAATTGCAGCATGGCTACTAAGTTGATTAAACTGACTTGATATTTCAAGAAATTTAGTAAATCGTATTAAGAATGAAATGATCTCCTTAGTTTTGAGTTACTTCTAATTATAACTAAAGAAGTTAATGTTAAAGTTAACGCGTTTTGAAAACTCCCTGACCTAATAAGACAACGAAAATACACAGACTACAATAAAAGTCTTTCTTAAGCTGACCATGAGTTCTGACTATGCTAAAATTAAAAGAATATATTTCCATAGATTCAGTTCCATGTTTCATTCTACTTCAAATCATCACATTTTCTTCTCTTCTTTCATGTAAGCCATGAACTAAAGACAGGAAAAAAAGTAGAGCCAAAACGTGGGCTGGTTTTCATAAAAGTATAATTCTAAGTCATTATAAATGTCTTGATAAATTATTATCATTTACCTTAAATGTGTTGATCTATAACAAAATGATACTGATGTCCCTGATAATTACAACCATGCTGACTTTTTAAATTAATCTAAAATTGTCATGTCCAACATTATTTTGTTTTTCTCAGGAGCATAATCTCTACAATCATCACTAGGTCCCAAATCTAATCAAGCTGACTCTAAATCCTAAGCTAAAACATAGGAAAGATTTTCAGGAAAAGGAAAGACTATATCAGAACTATAATCTGAAATTAAAACAAGGCATGAACTACCATGCACAATCATAAAGATCAGTGCCATTGTTGAAAGAATCCCTCCATTCAATTACCATGAGATATATCCAGAAATTAAAAAAAAAAAAACTTAGCTATTTCATGACAAGAAACTAAAGACAACTCTGAACACACATCTCAATGAAGCTGTAGAAATGCATCCAACCTTTCTCTTGGATCTCAAAGCCACCCACTCTTCTAGTCTGGAGATTTAGCTTTTAACATGCAAATGGAAAGTCACATTTCATTATTAATAGTACTTTCTTTACAAAAATAACGTAATGCAAAGCACAAACCTGTACATCATAGGTCCCATTTAGCAAAACAGGCCTTGAAGAATTGATGTCCTGCAGTACACCAGAAAGCACAGAGCGGTTGACCTTCTGGAAGTCTTTGGAATGGCTGAACTGCACCATGTTATGAAGGGCCAGGATTTTGCTGTCCAGCTCAGCATCCTGCCTGGTGCGGTTATGCAGTCCTAAGTGATACTTGCGGAAGTGCTTAATCAGATCTGTGGGGTCGTTACCATAGTAACCGTAGCCACAGATATTGCATTTAAAGTCCTGAAGCTCTGGAGACAGAGGTGCCGGGTCTGGGTTGTCATTTACCAGTAAGTCAGTTTTGGATTTATTCAATCTTACACCCCCATCTGAAGGCACTTGTGGGTTTTTGGAGGCCACGGAAACTGGGCTTAAACCTTGACAATTGGCTTGACCACTCTGCACTTGCCCTGTTTCCTCCGTAGCCTTTGGTGACATCTTATGATCTTCCTTTGTCTCCAGGGAGTCCCCTGATGGGGTACAGGCCATATCTTGAGGGTCATCTGCCTCTGCTCTTTGAGGAGACTTCAAGGGCTCGCAGACTCCCCCAGCAGCTGGAGATGAGAAAGCCAGCATATTTCTGTCTGTCACCTCATCATGTGGGAAGGAGGGAAGGTTTCCTCCCTTACTGGGGCTCTCATAATTGAAGCCAGCCTTCTCACTCAGGACTGAGCTTTTCAAGTCCTTCTTACTACTTGAAGACTGATCTTGGCCATGCAAGATGTGCTCCTCCTTATTATTTAGTTCTGCAGAATCACACTGATCTGTATTTTCTGACATCTGATCTGCAGAAAATTCTTTGTTCTTTCCAGATACCTTGCTTTCTGTACCTATTGGCTCCAGGGTCTGGCCCTCGCTTTCACTAGCAACGTTTCTCAGAGGGGGGTTCTTTTTCCGGACCATATCTGTGAAAATACAAAAAAAAAATGGTAGATGCTGAGTTACTTCCAAGGTATAGACAAGTACTTCATTAATAAACAATTCTATTTTCTCTAAGGACCTCTAAGGTGTACAATGATAGACTTCCTCTAAGAAAAGTGAGTTTTAGAAACAGTAATATTCCTAGGCTATGGTGGCTCAAACCTGTAATCCTAGCTACTCAGAGGCTGAGATCTGAGGATGAGAGTTGGAAGTCAGCCCAGGCAGAAAAGTCCATGAGACCTTTTTTTTTTTGGTCAGTCTGGGCCTGGGCGCCGTCCCTCAGCTCTCTAGGCTAGCACTCTACCACTTGAGCCACAGCACCGCTTCCACCATAAGACTCTTATCTCCAACTGACAAGCAAAAACTGGGAAGTGGAACTGAGACTCAAGCAGTAGAGTGCTAGTCTGAAGTGAAAAAGCTAAAGGATAGCACAAGGCCGTGAAGTTAAGGCACCGTACTGATAAAATAAGTAAATAAAAACTAAATTAATAAATGTAAATTAAGACTAAAGTAAACAATTCATATTTAGAACTCTTGTCCTCATAAAGATTGCCTGATATACTATTTTACAATGGATTATGAGTATTAAAGAACTCATTTTTCTTACTGGCTCTATCTTATCTATTTTTTTTCTCCCATCCTTTTGTTCATGTCGTTCTTCAGTTATAGTCAATCACATACATCCATAAAATGGATACACATTATACTTTATATAACATGCATAAATGCACACTATGTTCATAGAACATATATATATACATACTTACATTTATAGAATAAAGATTATGTGTGTGATAAATATATACAGATATAAACATCACTAATTGGAATTAAATTCTACTACTCTATGCAAAAGGAAATATAATTTCAAACAAAAAATTCTCATAGTAAAACAGAGTTGTTACATAAGCAGAATAAAAACTGTCCCCTTACTTTTAGGAAATGTCAAATAGTGAATATTTCATCTCTGGCCTATCAATAAATTCATTTAAGAGACAATTGGATCTTTCCTGAGAGTCAGAAGACTAGAAGAGTGAGGTATCACTAGCCCCGTTGTCCAGCAGAAGGGAAAATGAACTAAGCCTTGGTATCTAGGTACATCTAAGGGAAACAATATCAAGTTCTCCATTCAGAACACACTAGAAGATTTACTAAAGCAAACTAGTAGGCTGAGTGACCTTGTCATTTTGAAGCAGTGATAAAATTCTAGAGGTTTCTTAAGATTCCTTGTATATGCTAGCTCAGCTGTACCTCTCAATGTCAGAGGCATCAATGACTAAAGTCAAAATTAGAATGCTATAACAAATTCTTCTAGAGGAATCTAATGAATCAGAACTAGAGGGACATTTTAGAATTCAAAAACAGTATGTGTTGTGTCCATTAAAGAATGCGCTTAACAAGGGCTAGTTGATTGTAGGATTCTGTGTTCCTAAAACACTCAGCTGAAATTGCCCAGTATTGTGGAAGTCATCTTCTCAAAGGTCTTGGAAAACTTCACCTGTAACGTTCTAATCAAACAAGTCTTCTTTACTAGCAATTCTTCTGTGAAGACAAATATAGCAGGGTTCGTTGTACAACAATTATCAAATTGGGCTGGGAAAGTCTACATTAATAACACAGTTGAGTCATTTACATCTATGATTTCTCACAAGGGCTAAAGCATTGCACTGGCTTGTGGTATCTGAGTGCACCACTGCTTCTGAGGGATCTAGTAAAAAAAATGTATAATATGGATCACTGACAATGCACTAGTTGGAGAGACTCTCACTTACAAAGTAAAAATTCATTTTAGTGACTAATGTCAAAAACAGTACAATAGTGCTTTCAAAAGTATACTGCTTTTATATATCAAAATGTCAACAGCACAATATAGGACAGTACTTCAAAAGTACACTGCTCCTATACACCAATAATGCTATTATCCCACAGAGTCTCCCTACTAGAACAACAACAAAACTTACAAGATAAAAGATTGAACTTTCAAGAGGAAGTGATGGCCATGAGACAATGTCAGCCCAGACCCCTCCTGTGGGTAGGAGGGGAGTGTGCCACACCTTAGTGATGCTACCCCATTAGGTCTAAAATTAACAAATCTAAACAATCTCTGTTAGACCAGGAAATACTGGTTAAACATACATGTGTGCATATGCATATATATAATGCGTATGTATATGCAAAATATTCTCATAGTAAAACAGATGTTACATAAACAGATAAAAACTGTCCCATTACTTTTAGAAAATGTCAAATAATGAACATTTCATCTCTATCAATAAATTCATTTAAGAGAGATATATATGTGCATATACATATGTGTATACATATATGCATGTGTATGCATATACTGCTTTCTAATATTTTTAAACAGAGGGCATAATACTTGCTGGGCATCTACTACTTGAGCTATTCTTCAACCTACAATAATATAACAATATAGTGTTTTCATGTCAGTAACAGTGACAGAGTAGCTTAAGAACCTCTAACAGCCAAAGAAGAATGAAGGGAACTTTTTTCTGTGTATGCTAGTCCTGGGGCTTGAACTCAGAGACCAGGCTCTGTCCTTGAGCTTCTTTTGCTCAAGGCTAACACTCTACCACTTGAACCACAGCGCTACTTCCAGCTTTTTCTAAGTAGTTTCTTGGAAATAAAAGTCTCACAGCCTCTGCTGCCTAGGCTGACTTCAAACCATGATCCTCAGAGCTTAGCCTCCTGAGTAGCTAGAATTACAGGCATGAGCCACCAACATCAGGCAAATGCAAGGAAATTTACTAAAGCCAATTAAGGGAATTTTTTTCATAAAATAAGAAGGAAGCTTAAGAAATTAAATCTTTCAACTACCACTTTAAACCAAAGATAAACTGTTCTAAACAAGGAATGGAGGCCCACCATTCCCAAATAAGTGGACCATCTGAAGCCGGAGGATCAATTGAACCCAGGAACTCCAGATCAGCCTAGTTAATATTGTAAGACTTTGTCTCAGAAGTAAAAATAAATTAACGAATAAGTAAATAATGAAGTACATTTTAAAAACATGTTTTAAAAATACATATATATTTTAATTTGCCTGTTATACATATTAGATATATTGCCTATTACATATAAAGAGATATGAGGCATGTAATCACTTCACACAACGACCTCTTGTATGTTCTTTTAGAAGTGTAGACTTGTTTCTTCCACACACATTTTCAGTAACTGTTATGATCCATACTGAATAATGATTTCATTTGTCCTTTAACATTTCAGCTTACTGTGGCTAAAATCTAACAATGACTGATAAAAATAAAACAAATGAGGCTACACAAAAGTTGAAAAATCTATGTGAAAGGAATAGCATCTGAAGAAACATGGAATAATAAATTCAATTCACTTAAGTTATCCAGCCATCAAAACGGAAAGAAAATGGTTTATTTATTCCTACATAGTAAATACTCAAAAGTTAATTGGTCAAATACTCAAAAGATAATTGATCTAAAGGTATTTACATTAAAAAGTATTTTTTCAGAGCCCAGATAATTCTAGATCTTGCTGATTTGTCATTATCATGAAGAGATACAATAGGTCAAAGATTAAAAACTACTTAACCAGCATCTTAGTGCTTGAGAGAAAATGGGATTTAATTAAATTATCATCTTTCCAAATTTCAGTTCCTTCTTCTACCCAAGAACAGACTTTCAGAAGCATATGACTCACTGATTCCTTATGCTAAGAAGAGCCCTTAATAATATACATTGCTAAGAATGCTAAGCTGCTAAAACTTCAAAGAAGTATCAGAAAGGTCATTTGAGTTTTATTTTGTGTTGTGGGGGCAGGGACATGTTCTTTTTAGTTGGTGTTTAAAAAAAAATCATGGTTAATTTAGTTGACTATTCTTTGAAGTAGTTATAGAAAAAAAATTTTTACTGGAACTATATCATCATAATTTTTCAGAGTGACATATTATGTAAATATAAGCACATTTGCAATTCTTCTAAGTGGAAGAAACTCCCCTAGCAAGTCATAAGTTAGATACCATAAGACTATAGCCACCCTCGAGTTATTATCTCTAAGACAAATAACAGATTGCGTGATGTTTTACTATGTGCCAAGAACTTTTCCAGTTAACATTTTCACTTGAAAAAAAAATAGATCACATACTTGTAAAATCATACCCAGCATTGACTTCATAAGGCATGTGGCTTTAGAGTGCTTTGTACAATTATTAATTCTATTAGTCAACTATCAGGAAGCTAATGCAATTATCTTAGAAGACGCTGAGAGGACACAGAAGACATTTTGAGAGCTGATCTGTACATCTGTAAAAGAAAGCAAAATAAAAATTCCTTCCTAAATGATATAAACGTACTTTAATGTATCACACCTAAAATACATTAATATGCCAGCACCATGCTCTGCTTGAAAAACATCTGATAAAAGCACAAGGCAGATCGTGAGCAGCAGTCTCTCCTCCCCTGGGTTTAATAAAGCAGCTGCATGGAAGGGGGCGATGGGGGGGGGCATTATATGAAAGATTACAGGACAAGAAGTCATTTTCATAACAGGTCAGGATGTTGCTGAGATTATTTGACCTCTAAAACTCCCTTAATCCTAGTGACTTGATACTTACCTACACTAAAGGCTAGGGAGGAATCTTAAATTTTAAATGCCAGCACTGGTTTTAAAGAGAACATTTCAAAGCACTGAAAATACTTAATCACATCAAAGAACTTCAGTCATCAGTTCTGATGATTCTATTTTGAACTTTATCATCCCACTCCATAGCAAGATGCCACATATAAACTACTTTTTTCAAAAGCGTTCAAACATCAATTAAAGAAGGATCATTACAAACCAGCAACTTTAGGTAATGGAGATGAAAGTGAAGGGGACAAAGTCATCTGTGGGTAGTAATCGCAAGTATCATTTTCTAGATATGCCTCATTTTGCGCACACAAACACACACACACACACACACACACACACACACACACAAATGCTACTTAAA